ATAGTGACTGTAGCAATGGAATAGATTTGAAGCAACGATACAGCTTACTTCGGCTGCAGGTTTCTTCACGTTTCGTTTTATTTGATAGCTACGCGCACTCATTTTGTTTTAGACATCTCTCTCAGCAGTGCTTAGGAAAGCAGAAACAAGTGAAGTACGCGTTGTGGCAGAGAAATCAGGCGAGAAAGAAGGTGATGCAGAGCAAACATCCGGTCCGAGCCCCAAAAACAAAAAAGTATTGCGTTTTTGACAAAAGCTTTTGGTGTTTGATATATGAGTTTTCCAGGAAGAAAGTCATCTCGACGCTGCTGATGTCTCCCTCATAGGTCAGTTACACGACTTTTACTTGCTTTCTGACGTTTTTCTTACAATAAATGGATATTATTCAACGAGGATTGGCCATTTTAGGTGAAGGTTCCGACCTTGTCAGCAGCATTGATTACGGTTACCAGTCGAAAGCACTCAGACTTTATGTGCTGCATGAACTCGCTTTTGCGTTCGTGCATAGCCATCCAGAGGGTACAAAACCAACAATTTATGATTTGTGGGTGGTCATTCTTCTCATTTAATGTATGCTTTCTTCTTGAACGTCTTCGTCGTCATTTCACATTGGTCATCGTCGTATGCGCAAGGATTGGTGTCATTTTTGTAAAGCTTCGCCCTTTAGATTTTTGATTTGATGTGCGCGAACATACCTGCCCACTTGAGGTTCTGACCATCAGTTGTTTATTGAGCACCGGTTTTATCTAATGATCTGAAATCCGTAGCAGGCACTGTTTTGTACGCAGCGACAGAACTCTTCCTAGGTTCCCACCCGGTGAGAGCTTTGCTACCTATCCGGAGCGGTCTGTGGACGAACTCACTGTTTATGTGGATGAAGAATCTCCTCTACGCTTTCTTCCACCTATGCCACCTTTTACTGACATCCCAAGGTAAGGTACTGAAATGATAGAATGTTACTCAGATTTTCGTTCTAGAGGATGGTTCATGCTTCACGATTTCTTCGTAGCAATGCCTCTGTCAGTATTTGTTTCAATAGCCTACGTGAATCGGAATGTCGATGTTAGTGATGAGTTAATTTGCAATTGTGTTGCATTTGAAGTGACTTGCTCTCGATTATACAGCAGAAAGAGAAAAGAAAATCATTTCAGAGGAAACTGCTCCTAAGCTACCTATGCGACCCTATCAAGCGGCACATACCGATCGGTTGCCTTCCACATGACCTTCGCTTGGCAATTTTGAAAGTGAGTTCTTTCACGTCTCATATTTTTTATTTCCATTTCCAATCTATAGTGTCAGCGTTCCTTTCCTCAATCTATACTGTCAGCATTTCATGTTAATCTGCACAATTTCAGGACAAAAAGGTTGCCCGGCAGATCGAACACATTCTGCTTACTCTGGCAGCAATGGGACTGGTGGCCGTTGCAGCTAATCCTGATCCAAAATGCTTTCCGTTCGCACGTGCGACGGTGTTCTATGTTAGTAAGAGGTAATTTTTGTTGCACAAATGCGTGATTTTTCAACCACGCATGTTTTGCTTTTTTGAACCATGATTTTCGATTGACCTCCTTGAAGAATTCTGTAAACTGACTCATGAATGGGAGATTTTACTATTGTAGAGCTGCGCTGTACGACACAAGCACTAGTGGTAGAGGCTACGCAACTGTTACGCTACCTCTGTCTAATTATGATAGATACAGCTACGAATTCAATACTACCGTGAGTCTATTTCTGTTGCGGCGCAATTCATTGTCAAACTTTGTTTTGTTCATTATTTGCAATTTTATTGTCTTTCTTATTTCTGACGATATGGGGATCATTTTAGATGAGCTCCTACAAATTTGCATATCATTTCAGGACGACGTGGTTCTTTTCTGGCACCATCTTCGAGCAATAGTACAGTC